CCATAGAGCTAGGAGCCCCTCCCTGTGGGGGCGGGGTTGGGGGGGGTCCATAGAGCTAGGAGCCCCTCCCTGTGGGGGCGGGGTTGGGGGGGTCCATAGAGCTAGGAGCCCTCCCTGTGGGGGCGGGTTGGGGGGGGTCCATAGAGCTAGGAGCCCCTCCCTGTGGGGGTGGGCCAGGCCCTCAGGAGAAGGGCCATGGAGCTAGAGGGCAGTGGGGGCTCCATGGAGCTAGGGGGCAGGGCCAGAGGCGGCCCCAGAGCTAGCAACTCCTCCCGGCGGGGAAGCCCCGCGCTCCCCGCCCGTCTCGGGACGCACGCAGCCCACGCGAGCAGCGCAGCAGCAGACGCTCCCCTGCCCTGCCCCCACAGGGAGGGACTAGCGCGAAGCGCCTCCCGCCTGGCCCAGGGGGCGGAGACCCCCTCACAATCCCAGCTCCTGACGGGCCGGTTCGGTTTTCCCGGGGCGGAGGCCTCCCACTCGTGATTGGCTAGCTCCGCTGTGGGGGCGGGCCCTCGCCTGCATCCCTTTGAACTGACCATCCACGCCGCCGTAGCGCCGCGCTGGGAGGAGCTTCTGCATTGGCGCTTCCGTTGGCGGGGGCGGGAGGTGCAGAGGGAGGCGAATACCGGCCCCCTCTGTCAATGCCAATAATCCGTTAGTGCGAATGGGCACAGTGCCATGCACACCACACTCCCACTGCCCAGCGCCTCCCCGCCCACAGCCCCCCCAGTGCCCAGCGCCCCCGACGGGCCCCCCCGAGACCCATCCCCCGCTGGGAGGTGCCGGTGCCCGCTGGGCTGAGGCGGCAGCGCGGCAGGAACAACGGGCTCGGCCAGGCCTGGGGCAGCTGCCTGGGCCAGGCTCCCTCAGGAAGGCCCCTGGCCTGGCGCAGCCCGGCCGAGCCCCACGCGGGGCTCCCCCTGGCCTGGGGCGGAGCGGGGGGCGGGGCCACGGTCCCAACGCGGCCCTTTCCTGAGCGTGGGCTTGGCGGGCGCCATTGTAAGCCCAAGAGCGGCCGTGAGGCGCAGCGGAGCCCATCCCCCCTCTCCCCCCGGCGGGAGCGTGCCCCGGTCTCCGGGCTCACGCCCCTCGGCCACCCCGACCCAGCCATGGACGAGGAGAGGAGGCGGAAGCTGGAGGCCGGCAGAGCCAAGGTGCTACTAGAACTCCCCTTCCCCCTCTCCCGGGGGGCTGGCACTGCTGGGGGGCGGGGGGGAGATGAGCTGCTGGGCTCCTGTGTTTCCCCAGCCTGGGCGGCGGGCAGCGCGACACCTGCACCTGTGTGACCCTGGGCTACTTTCCTGTGCTTCACTTCCCCCCATGAAGCAGCAGTGACCCCCCCCCCCGGTGGGCTGTGTGGGGTAGAGTCCTGGCGACCCCACGGGGGCAGGCTGAGACCCCGGGATTTTAATGTCGGTTCTGTGACCTGGTAACAGCCCTGATCTGAGCCTTAACTCTCCAGTCAAACAGCTGACCGTTAACGGCGTGAGGTGAGGGTGTCATAGCTGGTATCATAAATGTGCACAGTGCTTCGCAAACAAAAACAAGGCTGTTGCCCCGAGAAACTTGTAGCCAAGAGCCAGTCCTGCAATGAGCTCTGTGCAGAAATATCCCTTCTTGGGGCGAAGTCACACACTTTTGGGATCTAAAACACAAAATCCAGGTAAATGAAAATGTGTTGTTTATTTATGGATTGGCCCTGGATTCTGATGGCTTTTCACTTTCCTATAAATAGCAAACTGAGGATAACTGGGTGAAAACTGAAGAGGGTATGCAGTGGATATTTAGTGAGTTGCACCAGTGTATAAATCAATTAAAGTTGCATGTGTGCACATCTTATGTACTTAAGTGTAACTAGGTCAAAATGACTTAGTTCTGCTTCTGTTAGTCTTAAAGGTGCCACAGGACCCTCTGTTGCTTTTTACAGATTCAGACTAACACGGATACCCCTCTGATACTAGGTCAAAATGATTAATTTTATATATAGTCAGTGAGGGTTCTCCTGAATTCCAGCTGGGAGTATCTGAAATGCTTGTCTTGCTGAATGTCATGTCTGATGCAGGGATATTGGGAAACAATCTACCTTGGAAATCAACATAAAAGTTACACTCAAGTTGGGAATTTTGTTACCACCAGCATCTGTTTTTTTCATTTGGCTCACTTAAAAATTGCTGCTTTGTTTTAACATTTTAATCTTAAATGCAGGTTCTAAATGGTTTCAGTGTAAGAAAATAATTGTTTCAGAAGCTGTGTAACCAGAGAAGTGAAAGTCTTAATTTGGTGGCTTTGGAGGGTTCTCAGGGGATCAAAGAGATCAGAGTTCAGAATAGTGGTATGAACCCAAAATATGAGTTACATTTTCTGCTGCTTAAATAACTGATAAACTCTAGTGGCATGTCAGGGTCAGTGTAAGGATGATTCTTTTTTAAGACTCAGACTTCATTTACTTGGAAGTAGATTGACACTTGAGAAGTTGAGATTATCATTATAGGTACTGGGAAACATTTTTTTTTTCATTCCACTCTTAGGACAGACTAAATATTGACTCCTATGTACAAGGTTAGTAGTGTTATGGTCAGTGGAACCTCCCATGTGTTTAGAAATGTACAGCATTAGGGCCCGAGAATGTAAGCTTCTCACTGCAGTTACTGTTGTCTTTGACTTGTACAGTGCTGAGTACCTTGTTGGTACCTAACAAATAAATAGCACTGTTTGGAAAAAAAATCACATGTGCTTTACATTGATAAAACTTGATCATTTTCATAAATTTTGATATGACCAGTCACTGTATCATTTTGTTTTTGTGGACTGTCTTTGGTCTCTAAATAGAGAAATATGATGTTGAAATGATAACGGAAGCCACTGTGATCCAGCACATAGGACAGTAGACTGGGCATCTAGTTGTGGGTTGGCTGTCTACCTGCTGCATAACTTCAAACTGGTCTTAAGTTACTAAATTTGATGTATTGTGATTTGGTATCAGCGGCTGTAGCTCTTTAGCCAGTGAGAATATGAAATTCTAATTTGACAGTTTTAATTTTGTATTTCAGAATCAGAGAGACATGGTGGGTGAGGTAATAGCTTTTATTGGACAAACTTCTGTTGGTGAAAGGACTAGCTTTCAAGCTACCCAGAGTTCTTCTTTCAGAAGGAGGCATTTTGACAAAAGGAGTTTATATTTAATGATTTTGTTTATATCAGACAGTAAAAATGATAGTCAGCATTAGTCCCTCACACATGAACAATTCCATCATATACATTGCAGGAAATAAAAGTAGATTCATTTGAATCACTGTGGATAAAATGTAAAAAAAAACAAAACAAAACAAAAAAAAAAACTTAAAATTATCAGTTTTATCTTTTTACCACTACTTACTTGTAGATCTGACCTATGACTTGACCTAACACTCTTGTATGTTTCGCTTGGCTACATTATACAGAGCATAGTACATGAGGTGTGAGCAGGATTTTGTTAAAACTTTCCTTGTATTAAGTCACCTACTAGTACAGTATCTGGCTATAGTAAGAAAAATGTGGTATTCTAGTATAAGAAGCAAACTGTTTCCACCTGTTGGACAGCTGTCACTTTGCCATCTCCAAATCAGTGGGGTCTTAAATTATATTTAAAGCTCCATGCTGTGCCAGTGTTGCATCTTAGAGTTCTTTAGTTTAGTTTTAAATGTTTAGCTTTTGTAGGCTAATTAGTTACATTACACTACATAAAAATTCAAATGTAGGTAAAAAGCAGAGCTACTGTTATACCTCTAATTACTCAGGTGAAATATTTTATTGCATTTAATATTTATTTGTCACCCTTCCCCTATCTTAGCACTCTCATTCTGAGGAAGCTTAATATCCTGATGTTGCCTGTTCTGAACCTAAAAGAAACATTAACTAGGTTTCTGGAAACATATCTGTAGGTCAAATATGGGCCTTAATCCTGAAAGTTCTGTGTGAGAAGACCACTGTAGACTTCCATTAACATCAATGGGGCCCCGCATGGGAGTCTGCCAAGGTGGAACAACTTGGAGGATTCAAACCATGGTTAGAAGAAGAGCAATACTGCCAACCCTGAACATTAAAAAATCTTGAGTCAGCCCTCCCTGCCTTTCCTGAAGTCATGAGATTGGTTTAAAAATTGAGATTTAAAAAATAAATTTATTTATTTGCTTTCTGGTGTTTGTGCCTTTTAGGGTTCATATTTTCAAACTTTTCTCTGCATCCATGTGGGGTAGAAACTTAAATAAATTAAATAAATAAAATAGAGAGAGAGAGAGAGATGAGGTTCTCACATAGTCACATTACTCCAGGAGCTGGCATATCATGGAAAATGCCAATTATTATGAGACCTGCAATAAAATTATATGAACAAGTTACTCTACTCCCTGCAGATGTAAAAAGGACCCGAAATATTCCATTATGTTTTTTGGTTGTCTCTTGGGGATTTCCAGTTTTCTATAGAACGAGGTGAGGAAAAAATGTACTTTGCATCAACCAATGCCTGTATCAGAGAAAGTGATTTTAAAATACCAACAGTAAGGAATTGCAATATACGACTTGTGAAATATTCTCCTTTTTATCAGGCCTTTATGCTTGTTTTTGTAAGCATATCTTAGACAGCATATCTGTATCTAGCCATCGCCACCATAGATCCTAAAAATTCTCAAGAAAATGTCCAAGATACTGTAATTATTAAATGGAAGTGAAAACAGAACCAAAGAAGGAATTGTCCGAGTTCAAGAGAAGTTACACTTGATCCAGCTCTTGTTGAGCAATCTGAGAAAGTAATATGGTGGGATTCAGTCATAGCTGAGTTATTAGGGCAGTGTAATTTACAAAGGAATTAAGAATATAACAAGAATGGCCATATTGGGTCAGACCAAAGGTTCATCCAGCCTAGTATCCTGTCTTTTGACAGTGGCCAATGCCAGGTGCCCCAGAGGGAATGAACAGAACAGGTAATCATAGAATATCAGGGTTGGGAGGGACCTCAGGAGGTCATCTAGTCCAACCCCCTGCTCAAAGCAGGACCAATTCCCAGACAGATTTTTGCCCCAGATCCGTAGATGGCCCCCTCAAGGATTGAGCTCACAACCCTGAATTTAGCAGGCCAGTGTTCAAACCACTGAGCTAGCCCTCCATTCCTTGTTGCTCATTCCTAGCTTCTGGCAAACAGAAGCCGTCCCTGCCAATCCTGGCTAATAGCCATTGATGGACCTATCCTCCATGAATTTATCTAGTTCTTTTTTGAACCCTGTTATAGTCATGGCCTTCACAACATCCCCTGGCAAAGAGTTGCACAGGTTGACTGTGCATTGTGTAAAGAAATACTTCCTTTTGTTTGTTTGAAACCTGCTGCCTATTAATTTCATTTGGTGCCCCCTAGTTCTTGTGTTATGTGAAGGAGTAAATAACACTTCCTCATTTACTTTCTCTACACCAGTCATGATTTTATAGACCTCTATCATATCCCCCCTTAGTCATTTCTTTTCCAAGCTGAATAGTCCTAGTCTTATTACTCTCTCCTCATACGGAAGCCGTTCCATACCCCTAATCATTTTTGTTGCAGTTTTCTGTACCTTTTCCAATTCCAATACATCTTTTTTGAGATAGAGCAACCACATCTACACGCAGTACTGATGATGTGGGCATACCGTGGATTTATTTAGAGGCAATATGATATTTTCTGTCTTATCTATCCCTTTCTTAATGATGCCCAACATTGTTTGCTTTTTTGACTGCTGCTGCACATTGAGTGGATGTTTTCAGAGAACTATCCACAGTGACTCCAAGATCTTTCTTGAGTGGTAACAGCCAATTTAGTCCCCATCATTTTATATGTATAGCTGGGATTATATTTTCCAACATGCATTACTTTGCATTTATCAACATTGAATTTCATCTGCCATTTTGCTGCCCAGACACCCAGTTTTGTGAGATCCCTTGGTAACTCTTCACAGTCAGCATTGGACTTAACTATCTTCAGTATTTTTGTATCATCTGCAAATTTCGCCACCTCTCTGGGTACCCCTTTTTCCAGATAATTTATGAATGTGTTGAACAGCACTGGTCCCAGTACAGTCCCTTGGGGGACAGCACTGTTTACCTCTCTCCATTCTGAAAACTGACCATTTACCTACCCCGTTTCCTATCTTTTAATCAGTTACTGATCCATGAGAGGACCTTCCCTCTTATCCCACAACAGCTTACCTTGTCAAAGGCTTTCTGAAAATCTAAGTACACTATATCCACCGGATCACTCTTGTCCACATGCTTGTTGACCCCCCTCAAAGAATTCTAGTAGATTAGTGAGGCATGATTTCCCTTTACAAAAACCATGTTGACAGGTTTCAAAGTAGCAGCCGTGTTAGGCTGTATCCGTAAAAAGAACAGGAGTACTTGTGGCACCTTAGAGACTAACAAATTTATTTGAGCATAAGCTTTCTTCTCTGTATGTATGTGTGTGTGTGTGTGTGTGTGTATCTATCTATCTATCTATCTATCTATCTTATTATATGTTCCATTCTCTGCATCCGATGAAGTGGGCTGTAGCCCACGAAAGCTTATGCTTAAATAAATTTGTTAGTCTCTAAAAAACCATGTTGACTCCCCAACAAATTATGTTCATCGATGTGTCTGACAATTTTGTTCTTCACTGTAGTT